GGGGAAGATAAGGATCATTCGATGCCAGACATTGTGGAACTGGTTCCCGTTATACATCATACTTCCGAATATGAATGAAAAGAGACTTCAGAGAAACATTTAGTTGACAAATATACTTAGTTGATTTTTTGGTTGCAAATAAAAAATCGGACGGATTGCCATTGCAGGATCTGATCGGGCATTCTTCTTCTTCTTGACTGGCTTTACAACAGGTGAGTCTTTGTCGCATCCACTATAGCTCTCCATCTTCTACGATCTTGCACTTTCATTTTCCATCGGGCATTCCTCCACTAGATGTGCTGGTTTGTCTTTCAGCACCACAATCGAAGTTTGGAGAGTGTTTTTGCTCCACCTAAAAAGTGAGTTGAAGTATTGAATCATGAACAAACACAGTTTGTTCTGATTCTGTTGTGGTTTGTGGCCCAGATTCGTCTTTGTTGACCGAAACCCTCTGGCTTGCTTGTGATAAATGGCATATAACGGGTGTCAGGTGGTGTATTCTTCTCTCAATCTTCCCGCCAACAGTCGGTTATCTTGAAGTTCTTTCAATTAGATTTCTTAAAGAATCTAGAGGGTTGTTTCTTGAACGAAGCTTACTTCTGTTTTTGCAGGTGATACCAACGTGAGAGCGGAGCACACGATCAGTGTTAATTTTTCTATACACCCTGACAAGGGCATGTTCTCAGCGGGTATGTGAGAGTGTTATGTGGCTTAGTACTGTTAGCCAGTATGTTGGTGTGGCCTTTATTATGCCCGATATAATACATAAAGCCGGGTTTAGTCGGCTGTCAACACGTCGCAATGCTGTTAATCAAAGTGTAGACGCCGAGAAATCCCATGTAGTACCGCATAACTTTTCCAGAATGTTATTTCGTGCAGTAGGTTTTTCGGAGGTACATGAAGTCAGACACACCAACCAGGAAAACTAAATGCCTTGTTAAATCATTAAGAGACTTTGTCTTAGTTTTGATTCTCCCCGTATATTTAGCCAAGATTCCGTGTACAAAAACACAGCTGTTTTAAAAAGTAAACATTACAAGACGAGTTCCATTTGCCAAACGACGTAGACGTCTTTGATTTTTAAGAGTAATGCGTTCTACCCTAAGATATTTTGCTTCGGTCTTTGTTCCTGACCACTTGGAGCAAAGACAGTTATGGGCTAGTGCTTCGCTGTTGCATAGTAAAGTATATATACACAATATATTACATACACTATATCTTGTTGCTGTATCATCTCAAGTAACGTTTACTTGGTAGATACATTTCATATTTGTTTGTTTACAACTTTATTTCAGTTTGTGCCGCAATTGAACATTGTCAATGAAGAACATTTTGCATTTGTTTTTTTTTATTTACTGTATTCTATATTTGTATTTATTAATACCGATTGCATTTCATATGTGTTTTTATATTAATAATTGTATTAATTATTTGTATGCACCTCATTATTAGTTGACAAACTATTGATTTTATTGACATTATTATATATCCATATTTTTTATAATATTTCTGTTTATAACGTGATATTGTATATACAAAATTATTCTACGGCTTTTCGTCTTTCTTTAGAATCGACTTTTTTAAAGAATTCTTTATGCCTGCCGTATTTCATAATCCGTTCGATGTGCAATATATTTTTATTATGTATAGTATGTTTACTGTTATAATAGATTTGTCTTTTAGTTGTTAAAATACTTTGTCGCTTTGTTTGATCCATCAATGTTCTATCCTTAAAATAATTGACTTTTTGGTATCGTTTCGTATTAACTAATATTTAAGTCTGTATATATTCTTGTTTAGTTATAATTGTATGTTTGTTTATGTATATTCATGTTTGAATTTTACTTCTTGTTAAAATAGAGTTTCACATAGTCATCTGGCTTTCATTTTTTTTCTGTTTCAATATTAATGTCAATAGCGAAAGGGAGAAGCCAGCGGGTAAAGATTGAATATAGACATTCTTCTTCCTCTCTGGTGACCTTAATTATTATAGAGAGGTCATCGTATGTGCAGAACGCAACAACACCTACAAAACATTGATCAGACCACTTCTCATCTTTGGTTCAAAAACTTGGGTACTGCAAAAATAGGATGAATCGCAACAAACAATATTTGAAAGAAATAAGGTCTAACATAGATATGGCGGTGAAATAGTATTTGGAAATACAATTTCAAATTGTACCAAGCTTACGAAGAGCCTAGTTTGATTAAGTTGATTAAGCTTAAAAGGGTGAGATGGATGAATCATATGGAGACATTAACCCCCGTGAATCATCGTGAGACACAATAATGACGAAGATGGCAGCAATATGTATGAAAACATTAACAGGCAAATAAAAGCAAAAATAAGAATAGCAAAAAATGAATGGCTTAAGCAACAATGTATCGATCTAGAACATTTACAACGACAGCACGACGACCGTAATTTACATAAAAAGCTTAAGGAGACTGCTGAATATACAGAAAACGAAGACCAACTACCATGGTTAATCAGGATAACCAGATAGTGCTGGGTGAAAAGGAGAAAATTGATATATGGGAAAATTATATCCAGGAGCTCTTCCATGACGAAAGACCCATGAGTGAAGTTTATACAGATGACCAGCTGACTGGCCCTTCAATCACCAAAGAGGAGATAGAAAAGGCAATATTAAATTCAAAAAACAATAAGGCGCCTGGACCAGATGAAATCCCGTCAGAAATACTCAAATTACTAGATAAAAGGGGAATTTCAGCACTACACAAAATATTTAATTTAATTTATGAAACTGGCTGCTATACTCAACAGTGGTTACGCTCTAATTAGCCTAATTAGCCTAATGAGTCACACTTTAAAGATATTCTTAAATATACTACATCAAAGATTATACAAAAAATGTGAATGGGACATCAGTGATTCCCAGTTCGGGTTTAGGCAAGGTTTAGGAACACGAGAAGCAATAGTAGCAACACAGGTGCTGGTCCAAAATTGTTACGATCAGAGGAAGGATGTGTTCATATGCTTTTTAGATTACCAAAAAGCGTTTGATCGTGTTCAACACCACAAGTTAATGCAGATTCTCAAGAAAGTTGATATAGACCAAAAAGACATAAGATGCATTGAAAACTTGTACTGGCATCAAACGGCACAGTTCAAAATAGACAATTCTATATCCAAACCCATACATATAAGAAGAGGCGTTCGACAGGGATGTGTGCTTTCCCCTCTTTTATTGTAACATTTATTCGGAAGCCATATTTCAAGAGTCTTTGGAGGATGCAGAGATGGGAATCAAGGTGAATGGAGTATTGATCAACAACATACGATATGCTGATGATGGTGTCTTAATTTGTGACAACATAGTCGATCTTCAACAACTTGTCACTATGATCGGAGAATACAGTAAGCGAATGGGATTAGAGATTAATACCAAAAAGACCAAATTTATGATCATCTCCAGAAACTTAGATGCACTTGAAAACTCCACCATAACACTAAATACTAAGTCCATTGAAAGAGTGAGTAAATTTAAATACCTGGGATCGTGGCTTTTTGAAGACTGGCATCGGACAGGGAAGTAAAATGTCGCATTGAGCAAGCTCGACAAGCTTTCGTAAAATTCAAGAAAGTACTGACTTGTTCAGAGTTTGATCTTCAACTGAGACTAAGGTTTGCTAAGTGCTACGTATGGTCAGTGCTGCTATATGGCGTAGAGGGCTGGACACTCAAAACGAGGGATATAAACAGATTAGAAGCTTTCGAAATGTGGCTTTATCGCCGTATCCTAAAAATACCATGGACAGCGAAAATCACAAATATAGATGTCCTTAAAAGAATAAACCAAGAATGCCAACTTTTCGAAACCATCAAGAAAAGGAAAACGGCGTGTCTAGGTCACATCATGCGAAATGAAAAATACCAGTTTCTCCAACTTCGAGGTTAAAATTGAAGGCAAGGGAGGAATGGGACGCAAGAAAATGTCCTGGCTCCGAAACATGAAGGCAATGGACAGGGATTAACGACATACAATCTCTGATACATATTGCAAGAAATAGAGAATAAATGGAAAATGTGATCGCTAACATCCATTAGTGGATTGGCATCTGAAGAAGAAGAAGAATCATCCAAAATCATAACCTAAGAAAGCATGGTATATGAAAGCAATCTAAGAGACGGCCACAATAAGATATATAAATTAAGCATGGGAAGAACTGAAAATACTTGAAACTAAAATCTGAAGAGCGAAACCGAGAAAAAGGAATGAATGGAGAGGACTAAGTTAATTAATCAAGATCTAACTAAGGTTGTAGAGTTAATGCTGATTGATTGAAGAATTATTTAACTAGGAAGATAATTAAATGGAGAATTTGAGCCTTGAGTATAAAAATACTCTTGGACGAAGCAATACAAGTTTTTTAACTTCAATTTATACTAGCAACAGTATAAAATCACAGAAGAAAGATGTGTTTTTCTTGTGGTGCATACAGTTCAGGATGTTGGCGATCATCGTGACTTTTAATTTACAACAGGTAATTTTCTCGAAATAGGTCTTCCTTAGTCATATTGAACCAATTTCTTAGGCTATGGAGCCAGTAAATACGTCGTGTGTGTTCCCGGGGCTCCCTCCTTACCACAAACGCTTGCTTCAATAACCACGTGGAGTAATTCATTGTTTTTATTCAATTTGTTGTGTTCATCTTCATATCTCGTTTTTAAAAAAATAATTAGTTTGTTCCACTTGGTTTTCTATTTATTTATTATCAATATTTTTTAGTTTAGTTATATATGTTTAATATATTATTATACTAATACCACTTTCTTTGGTAGTTATAGTTTAAATAAATTATTAGGTATTTGGAACTTCTTTAGTTATGACAATTCCTTAATAGCTGTACTGTTTATGTATACTACCGAGCACTGTCCCTATGTAGGAACACAAATTCAGGAAACACTAACACAGTGTGATCTTGGATGTTTTTATGTTATTGAGAATAGTTGTATATATCTTCTTTTTTTTTTCAGATGATGAAACATGGATGGGACAACTACGTCAGATACGCATGGGGTAAAAATGAGCTTAAACCGATTAGCAAACGTGGTCACAGTGCCAGTATTTTTTGGTTCCATGCCGTTGGGAGCTACGATTTTGGACAGTTTAGATACTCTCTACATCATGGGCATGAAAGATGAGTTCAAGCAGGCTAGGGAGTGGGTGGCTAACGAGTTGGATGTTGAACAAGCAGTAAGTAATGAAAAAAATATCTCCTACTTGACTCCTATTAGTTATTTGTTTAAACAAAATATATTGTTGACGCCTCACAAAGAAATATTTGTACATTAGAATAGCCAAATCTTTGTTTTCAACACAGTATCGGTCCAGTTGTCGGTACTGTAAATATTACACCTAAACTTTTTATATTTCTGTAAAATGAAAAATTTTGAGAATAATCAAAATTTTAGTCCCACAGCTTTAGACCACTTCTCTAGGCTTTGATTTAATCATCATCATCATCCAGCCTCTATTTATCACGTCCACTGCTGGACATAGGCCTCCCTTAAACTCCTCCATTCCTCACGATTTTGTGCTCTTTGTTGCCAATTTTTAGTGATACGCCTGATGTCGTCGGCCCAACGTGTAGGTGGTCTTCCTCTACTGCGTTTGTCTGCTCTTGGCCTCCAATTTGTAATTTTGCTCGTCCATCGTGAATCGTGCATTCTCGCTACATGGCCTGCCCAGTTCCATTTTAGTTCCGCTATGCGTTCCACAACATCAGTAATACTCGTCCTTCTTCGTAGATCTTCGTTTCTTATTCGGTCCCTCAACGTCACTCCCAGCATAGACCGTTCCATTCGTCTCTGTGCCACTCTCAGTTTCGAAGCCGTGGTCTTGGTTAAAGTCATAGTTTCCGCCCCATAGGTCATGACCGGTAATACGCATTGGTCAAACACTTTTCTTTTGAGACTGATTGGTATGTTGGCCCTAAGTGTGTCTCGCAGTTTTCCAAAGGCTGCCCATGTTAAAGTAATTCGTCTTTGGATCTCACATGTTTGGTTATTCCTGCTGATTCTTATTTCATGACCCAAATACGTATATTTCTAAACCAGTTCTACCACTTTGTCTTGAATAGTCAAATGGTTATTGGGGACCAAATTTGTCATAAACTTAGTTTTGGTCAAGTTCATTCTCAGGCCCACCTTCGAACATGCAAAATCCAATTCGTTTAACATATCTGTAGCTTCTCCTAAATTATCTGTGATAAGGACAATGTCATCTGCGAAACGGAGATGGTTAAGCTTTTCGCCGTCTATCGTTACTCCTCTGTGGTCCCAATTGATCATCTTAAAGGCATATTCTAATGCCGTTATGAATAATTTCGGCGACAATGGTCGCCGGTCGGGTTTTATTGTCTATTTTAAGAGTCATAGTGGCATTTTTGTAAATATTATAAATAAGCTCGCTATACCTATGGTCAATCCTGCTGTCATTCATTGCTTCTATAAGGCTGTCTAATTCGATCGTGTCGAACGCTTTATGAAAATCTATGAAAGTGAGAACAAGAGGTTTGTTATATTCTATAGATTTTTCAATGAGTGTCTTTACTGTGTGGAGGTGATCATTGGTACCATAATTTGAGCGGAATCCTGCCTGCTCTCTGGGTTGGTAGAAATCTAATTTTTTCTCCAATCTTGATGTCACTACCCTAGTGAAGAGCTTGTATATGTGGTTCAACAGGCTAATAGGTCTATAATTTTCTAGGTCCGTTCTATCTCCTTTTTTATGCAAAAGGATGGTTGTAGCATTGTTCCACTCTTTGGGCACCTCTCTTTGCTGCAAACATAGATTGAATAGTTTCCTTAATTTATTTAATAGCATATCTCCTCCATTTACGATAGCTTCTATTACGATTCCATCCTCTCCTGGGGCTTTGTTATTTTTCATTTTTCTTAATGCTTGTCGAATCTCATCTATTTATCTCTGGCATTAGTTCGGAACCTTGATTCTTGATCTTCTTTGAAATGGCTGTTTGTATTCCTGTTTTATCTCCTCGTCTCTTCTTTGATTTAATGCAATTTTTGAATATATTACCAGATCATCAGCATATAATCTTGCTTTAGCAAGTTGCGGTAGATGATCTAATATTTTATTTATTGAAACCAAACGAAGTGTTGTACTTGTTTAGTGCTTGCTGCAATACCAACTTTTATGGAATAAAATAGAGCATATTACTTCCTTGGTGTCCCAGTGACTTGTGTATTGTTCTAGTAATGTATTTACTTTATTTTCAGTATGTAATATTGTTCAGGATTTAATATAATATTTAAAAATGTTAAGTATTCACGATGTTTATCATTTTTGTGATTATTAGTCATAATAGCTTCAATTTTAGATAACATTCATCAAATCTTATCAATAAGAACTCCTGGTATGATTCACTGTTATTAATTTGAATTAAATGCTTAGATAATATTTTACCAAATGAACTGCTTCAGTTCAATAAGCTTCAAATCCAAAATTTATCTTTTAGTCATACCAGACGATTGTGAAGTGCTTTTTTTATTTATGATTGGTATTATAGCGTCAACACATTAATAAAAAATGCACTAATCACGTTTCAGGTAATACAAATTACCTATCTATGACAAGGTATAATTGTGCAATGGGACCAGCAAATTTGATTAAAATATAAGAAAAATGCATCAGTGATCAAAAAAATTTTGATTACATTTTCTTCTTGGCATTTTTATAGCCTCCTTTCGTATCCTTAGCTATTTCTCTATATTCATGGTAAACATGCGTGGTCAACACTTCTGCAGCTCATCTCACTATTTTTGGACATGTTATATTTTTCTTTAGATGTCTGATCATACAGGGGAGTAAATGTAGAACACATAATTAGTAATAGCAAAATTAAAAATGAAAATAATAAGAACCAGCTAAAAACAGAAGAAGTGAAGGTCAGAGAATGAAGAAGATACCTAAGTGGGGAACAAAAATAGAATATGAAAAGGAATAAGGAATGGAGGTTAATCATCAATCGAGTGAAGTCACACAACAACCTGTAAAGGAAGGCGACAAAGAACAAGAGAACAAAGAAAAGGCCGAGTGATACCCCGCGAAAACAGATTAGTGAGACTTATGTAAACCTCGTACTTCTTTTTAATTTGTTTTCTCTCATAGGTTCCTATAAGCACTTAGTCATTTGTTTTTTATAATTTCAAACAAAAATAAGCATAATAATTGTTTGTTTACATTGCCAGATGCCTCTACCGAGTCACCGTCTTTCTTTTTAATTCCTTAAATATTAAAATACTATTATTAAAATAATAATTGAGTTTATAATTGATATTAGCCAGCGATTGGTAAATCCTTTTCTCTTCTTCTTACGGTGCCTTATCCTTAAGGACGTTGACCATTACATTTGCCTATTTAATCTTATTTGTAGCAGCCCTGAATATTTCTATGGAGGTCATGTTCGTCCATTGCCGTAGGTTTTTAAGCCAAGAGTTGCGTCTTCTTCCTGGTCCTTTTCTACGAGTTAAAAAAATAAAACTCTCGTGAATCCTTTTAGCGTGGTACTGCGGAGAAAGAATTTTGTGAGGATACTTTTCGTCTGAGCAGCGAATATCCTGGCTTGCTAACCTGAGAGCATAGTATAGAAAGACCTCAACACAGCTATTTCGTATAGCAACCAACAAAGTCATCATAGCCAGAATGATCGCCAACGTTCGGAACGAACAGGCACCCTAAGAAGAAGAAGCGAGAAGGTCGGTTGGACATCCGAATAGTTTGAGATTTACTCGGTGTTTTGCTCCTCTGACAGAGGCTGGAAGTCATTTGCCAGAAATTTCTGACTTCTTCTTGAAGTTCCGCTCCTATCGGAGATTGGAAATCATTCTGGCAATTATAATTTTGTTGGTTACTCGCCAGAATAGTTCAATTGAACATACAGAAATGTTTTCTTATTCTGTTAAAAGTTGACCGTGCAATTTCAATTCGGCATCTCATTTCTTTTATCTGATCAGTGTCTTCTATATTATCTAGTGCAAGATTACCTATGTTGTTTTGAGCTTTTGTAAATAACGTGAACTTCATTTTCTTGATCTGGATATTCTCACTTCATTTTTTCAATCATTTCATTCTTCATTTTAAACTTTCGCTGTTTTATTCTTATTTTTCCGAGAATAATACGTTGCAACGGACAGATTGTGTTTTTTATGTAATGAAAATGAAGATTTGTCAGAAAATAAAATATTTTTTAAAAAGTATACATTTTCATTCTGTTTATCTAACAATTCACATCTTGTGTTCATTGTATCTTAAAACAGTGATACCCTTTCCTTTTGGGAACTCGCTGGACAGTTCGAGCATTCACGTTAACTTCTCTAGCAATTTGTACACTATTGCAAGGTTCAATAGCTTCCACAAAAAAGCACAAATATCAAAATCCTTGTTTTGACGACGCTCCTCATCTACAGGTCTAACACGTAGTTCATTACATTCATGACACTTTTTACAACTGTTTACACATCTCGAAGTTTGAAAATGTTTAATGGTATTTTTAACTGTTGTTACACTTGGTGGGGGTCTATTTTCGAAGGCAACAATAAATAAATCAATATCAATTACTTCGCGTATCGAATGACCCTATAAGTACCATGTTACAATTTACAAGCATTTTTCATTCATTCTTTCAAAACTTCGTTTGAATTTTTTAATGTCAATGTGACAATTACAATTCGTACCTACTGTGAAATGAATATAGAGGTTGAAACGTGTAACATTTCACAGCAATTGCCATTGTGTTGTATGGTCAATAAAACAATGTCGTGATCTGTATACCTCTACTGTCTGTTTTTATTTAACAAATTTTTTTGAGTCGATTATGCTGCACTCTGGACCTTCTCAAAAGCAATGAAAAGTCATATACTTTCTGATTTATATCTAGACATCCCTGCGAAAGAACACTCATTACAAACAGTGCATCTCGTGTTCCCAGACCTTTCCTAAATCCCAATTCTGTATTATTTATGCCTTCATCTAATTTCTTACGTATTATGTTCTGACTTTTAAAAATAATTTCAAGACATGACTCAGTATGGTGCGATGTCCATTGCACTTCTTTGCATTGGCTTTTTTGGGAAGCAGTATAAATGTCAATTGGAGCCATTCTTTAGGTATTATACCTGTTATATATATGGTATTGAATAGATCCAAAAGAAGATCAATATATTTAATATCCA